AAACCAGACGCCTGCCACACGGGACAATGATACAAGACCACGCCTCTCCCGCCTGTGGGCAAACACGTCTCCCGACACCCTATCTTGGCCCTAGGACGATTTGGGGCGGCCGCCCCAGGCTTTGTGTGCTGGGGGCCCTGCGGTGGCCTATGGATGGGAGGGACCCAGGGGACCCTTGTGTGGGGTAGCAGCAGGGGATCCAGAGAGGCCCAGCTGCTTGTCCCACTCCACCATGCCACCCTCTCCTGGCTGGGCTCCACTTCTGCCCTGGCCTCTGGGTGCTCTGCTTCCCGTGGGCGCGGAGAAGCGGGGTGCAGCGGGCTGGGAGAGGGCTGGGCAGGCTGCTGGACTGCTCTGGCTCCTGCAGTGAGGGGGTGTGTGGGGGGGGGGCAGCCACACATGCCTCGGTGCACAGAACAAAATGCATTCCGCACATGGATGGAAAACTGTAGAGGGAATACGATGGCGACCCATGCTAGTGACCAGGGTCTGTCCCCTCTCTGCAGGGAGACCAAAGGGCAGGTGAGGAAGAGAGGCCTTTCCTTAGCCCTTCGCAGCTGCCTTCACCGTTAGAACATGCCCTGAATCCTGCCCCCAGAGCCCGGGAGAGGGTCAGCGGAGCAGGCTGGCATCCCTGGGAGCCCCATGGTGCCAGGTTGGCTGGGACAGACCTGATCCTCTCTGGGTTGAGGGGGATACTGCCGGCCCCCTTCCTAACCCTCTGGAGTGCACGGCTCTCGTCACCGCAGTGTCTGAGCGCCATCCTCGGCTTACGCTCGCTCCACCCCCGAAGGTGCAGCAGAGCCACCAGCCCAGGTCTGGGGAAACTGAGGCACAGAGTCACAGCTAGAGTCTGTGGCAGAGCCAGCTCACCCGAGCCCCAGCCCTGTGCCCCCCCCACTAGGCCCTCCTCCCTGATGCCACGGTGAGGGGCACATGCTGTGGTCGCAGCCACGAGGCGGCGACGGTTCTTGAACTCTCGGAAGGGGACGAACTGCACGATGTCGCGCAGGACGGGCTCCCCCTTGGGGGAACGCAGCACCCCGTCGTCGCCGTCCAGGATCTGCATGTCCGTGAAGTCCGCGTTGCCCACGCCCACGATGATGATGGACATGGGCAGGTAGGAGGCCCGCACGATGGCCTCCCGCGTGTCGGCCATGTCGGTCACCACCCCGTCCGTCAGGATCAGCAGGATGTAGTATTGCTGCGGGGCGAAGGCGGGAGAGCGCCCGCGGGTGACTGGGCAGAGCTGCGGGGCAGTGCCTTCCTCAGCGCCCAGCGGCTCCGCCCCGGCCCCCCCTTCAGCGCAGCTCCCCCCGTCTCCTGGGGCTGCCTGAGGCTGGGACAGTGTGAGAGACTGGGGGCACGCGCCCTCCGCCCTTCCCCTGGCTCC